AATAGAGGCATGCACACTTCAATGATATAATTGAACATACAGTAATACTCTGCTTACATTTGAGGACCTCAAATTAAAGTATACATTTCAAGGTACCTCTTCATTTTTGTATCTGCATTAGTGCTCTGCAATTCATGCTTACAGAGGGCCTTGGGGGATACAGTTATCATTACATTAGTTGCAGGATTTTTTTTTAAATATTGATAAAAAGAAAAACATACAGTAATTCCAAATAATACATTTTCTTTTCTTGAAGGCAAGATATCAGAAATTAACTGTTCACTATACGTGGGCTAGATTTCTGCAGATGACATTACATGGACAAAGTTGACATACATTATGCCTCCAGAAATCCTAATCATCAGTTTATACATTCAATCTCATCTACAGATCTCATTTTATCTGTCAAAAAAGATATCTAATGAAATTGGCACCATTGGAACTATGCTGTGTTCTTGGGATGCTGTGGGCACTTTTATGCATATGTTTTAGGACTGTTGGGAGGTGAAATGTTTCTTGCTGAAACAGCCAAGACACCTATATTACTTCATGGCAAACACAAAATATTTGAACGATTAAAAAAAATCTTTCTTTTGTGTCTCCCCTTATGTTTCATAACTTAAAGAGAGGGAGAGGAGGGGATGAGGAAGGTAATAGGAGAATATAGGTGAGAGGGAGGAAGGAGTAGAGGGGAGAGGGAGGAACTTCACTGGGTTTTGTCTTCTTATTTTTGACATACAATTCCTTTGCATTCACTTTACACCATATATATACTGTACATACTTTGATATTGTTATCTCCCTGCAAAAGTTAATAAATTATTGGTCACAAAAAATAAATATTATAATACAAAAGCACATAAAATGTTACAGTATATGGAAATAGCTGGATTATAAAATAATAGAAAAATCAGGTCAAATAAAGCAAATATAAAATAACAGCTGAAAAATAACCTGGAGTGGTAATATGCTGGTCAAATATGCTGGTGATGTGTCAGGAATTAGAAATAAAATGTTGGACCTGAACATTATTGAAGAAAGTCCATGATTGTGCAAATTCCTAAACCACATATACGGCTCTTTTGTAAAGACTAGAGCTGGACAGCTTTTTAGCATACCTGTTCATTTGATTCAGTTCAGTTAAATCAATCAATTCAAAAGATTCTTTAATTTCATTCATTTGATTCACTAAGCCACTTGAATGGCAAAGCACCACTGAATAGAATCTGTGTCAGTAAATGAAATAGTGCTGCTGAATCTAGTCTGTCTAAGAACAACTCAATGCTACCAAATACCATATTCAAATAAATAAATATTTAAATGAGGCTTGCTCATTTACAAAGCTAAATGGAAAATAAGACATAATGACATTTGAGGAATGATTATTTTTGCGAAAATACTAGAGTAAGTATTATGTACAGTATAGACAGTTAAGTTTATGAGAGCTTTGCCTGTTTGCCAC